TCGTAGGGATTATTCATTTCAATGTATATGCTTAAATGTTTATATTTAAAATCATTTATGATGTTTGAACTGTTATTGTTTCATTATATTATGTAAAAATGTCAGGATATACAGTTAAATGATTAGATAATTTGTTAGAAAGAGTGTTAGAAAAGATAGAAAATATTAGATCTCAATTAGAAAATAAAGATGTACCATTTGAAGAATATAAAAAACTTATAGCAAAATATGAACAAAAAATTACAGATTATGCTAATTTATTAGATCAAATGATGGATTTGTTTGTTGAAATCCAAAATATAAGAAATATAAGATACTAATCTTTAAAACTATTCATAAAAGAAGGATATGTCTTGCAATAAAGAAGAACATTTCATTAAGGATAAAATAAACTTTTCTACAAAAACTTCAAAAAACCTAATTGACCCGGCTAATTTGAAGAATCTCCCATAATTGGCTACGTACTGTTCATGAATGGGCTTTAAACTAAAAATAGAGGCGGTGTTGCAAGATAGTAAAGGAATAAAGTGGTGGTATTGAAAAGATATTTTTAGTGAGAAGTAGGTTGTCAACGGTTTGAAACCGAACGGTCTTCTCCCATAGAGGCGGTGTTAGGATACTTATTAGTTTCATGTTAGGATATTGGTCAGCCAAACATAAGCTTACTATACAGTGGAATATATTGAGCTCATTATTAAACAGTGTAAAATCATTAAATACCAAGACTATTTTCAACAGAAGTGCACAGTTAAACTATAAACCAGCAACTAACTCCTGCCTTTGACAGTCATAAATTGGAGCAATCTAAGTTACATTTGTGTCATCTTATTGTTTCTCACTTTAAATTTCTAAGTGACAGGAGCACGTTAGTTTTAAGTTCGGCTTCACTTGCAATAATTACTCTCAATTGAAGGCATTTGCAAGTTTCAAGCATTGAAGTTTGAAGGAAATTTGAAGTAATTTGTTTACCTTTTGCTGATTTTCAATACGAATCTAAATAATTTGCACATATACTGGATTTATGGACTAAATGGGTATAAGCCTGTGATTGAGCTTGCAGATCCGATTACAAGGTATTTCTTTAACTTAATATAAACACCTGACTTCTTTCATACTGAAGAGTTATGATAAAATAGCATTGGCAACGTGTTAACTACCAATGTACTGTTACGTAGTGCTTGCTTGCACATTTTGTACCAAACCATAGCACACTGTTTGTGGCATTGGAAGTTCTATCAGATTCAGATGAACAATTTTTTTATAAATTATTTTATCTAACATTCTTGTCTTTTATGCTAATGCTCGGTTGTTGGTGTTAAATTCTTGTGATGTTCACAGCACGAATCATCTGTGCAGATGCCGATTATAATGATCTTTATAATTGTCTAATTTGATGATCTGTTCACTTTTTTTGTTTATGGTCTATGTTCATTTGGTTCATGGTGTTAAAGATAAGTGCCTCAGAGTCAAAGGACCACTTGTAATTTTGAACCTATTTGGTTCAATTAAAATTAAATTTTCATTATATTTTGATAAAAGTTGACAAAATTTATAGTTGAAAATCTGATAATATTAAGACTTGTGGTTATATATTGAAAAGTTAATTTTATTAAAATGATTAATTCAAAAATTTTATTAAAATGATTAATTCAAACCCTTAATCTATGTTTTTTATCTTTATTTGATATGAAATTTTATCCCTTAGCATGTCCTTACAAGATGATAGCTCATTTGAGCATTCAAATCTTGATATTCTTGTGCTCGTTTTTTACTCTTAATTATATCGAATTACTCTAATACTATATTAACACTTGAGATTTCATCTTAAAAAGTCAATCTTATTAAGAAGAGTAACACAAACCTTTATAAGTTGGTCTATGTTTTTATCTTTTATTCGATAAGAGATTTTATCCATTAAAAGATAAAAAATATGGATACCATGAAATGTGTGATTTAGTTCTTTGTTTGTTCAATCCAAGCAAAAGTCTAATTAGGCCATTATTGATTTAGTTTTCCATGTAGTCCATGAACTTTAATTATTATTATAATTAAGATCAAATCTTTTAAAGTAATTGAAATTGAGTTCAAAATGTTATAGAGCTTCGATGATTAGATCTTGTCTAATCGATTCCAAATCACTCAATTTAATTATTAGCCTTCACATTTTTTACTAAAGACAAAATACTGTACTCTAGGTATATGTAAAATTAGAGAAGCTAAAATATCTTTAGATGAAATACCCGATGATCAAGTAGAATTTAATTCTCTGCACGATCATATTTTATAACATTAAATATGATAGGTGGTCCATTAAATATACTCCAAGTGTACTAAATTCAATAACTCTTTTTGTGACAAGGATATTGTTAGAATTTGGGTGTGAACCGAATTCTTTGTTGAAAATAATTGAAAATTCTAATTAAAGTACACGTTAAGAGGAATTCTATTTGAAATGCTATTTTGGAATCCTATTCAAGTTTATTTTGCAATTTCTAGTTGAAGTATATTTGGAAGCTCCATTGGAAGTTGAAATTTGTGTTAGATTTGAAGATGTTGAAATTATGGAAGGAAGGCTTTTCTCACCACAGTTTCGCTAGCCTAGGGCTAGCTGGGCGCTTGAACGTCAAAAGTAGAGAAGTTGGCACCCATCGACGCTAGGCGCCTACATGAACGGTGGTGGGAAACACCCACGCCCCCTTTTCGCATTTTGACAAGTTTTCTTAGATTCTATTTTAACTACAACTCTACCATAAGGGTTTGAACGATCACTATTTTTTCCCTAGACGATCCCTATGTGTTCTTAGCTCTTCATTATGATTTAGATGAAATTAGATAAACAGTGTAAACACAAATATTTGTATTATTTCTCTATATTATAATAAAATCTCATTTACTCTACAAATTACATTATTCATGTGTCTTTGAGATCTAAACTTCATATTGTGGCTATAATCTCTTATTTTCTCCAACAAATTGATATTAGATTAATCTGGTATCAGCTTCGTTTCACAATAGACATAGCAAAATCAAATAATGAAATAGTAAACTTCACGACCTTTCGGTTCCTTGTACAAATGGTTTGAACACTTCTATTTATGATCAAATATAATTTCTATCAGTGGTGTTTCTCAAAGAAAGCACCCAACTTATATTATCAGGATTGATCATTTTGATACTTATATTCGCGTGATCAA